ATATCGTGGTCTACGGTATCAAAAGCCGCTGAGAGGTCCAAAAGAACAAGGACAGAGGAATATCCCCTGTCCCGGGCCCTCCAGAGATCATTAACCAACGCGACCAATGCCGTTTCCGTGCTGTGCCCCGGCCTGAAGCCCGACTGGTATGGGTCTAGATAGACTGATTCATCCAGGTGTCCGGGGAATTGCTGCGCAAAGAAACAAATTTAAATCTAAAGGCGTGATTAATCTGATCATTTATGATGAAATATTGGAAATATTATCAAAGGATACACAAGTGATGAATGCTTCTGAATGTGAAAATGGATGTTTCTTTGTAGTAACAAGAAAGTATGTGGAGGAAAGTAAAACAAGTACAAGCAGCCATTGTGAAAGCAGAAAGCCTGCAAGAAGAAAAAGTGTGAGTCCAGTATGAAAAAGTATTAGAAGATAGATTACTCTCCCCCCACCAAATGAATGGAAAGAGAAAATGGAAATTGCTTGGAAGGGAGTGAAAAGAAGTATGTTACTGATTACTCTCAAAGTGTGTAGAGTTAAACTAAAGGGAAGTATGAAAAGGAACAGTTAATACTGTGTTTCCCCGAAAGTAACCCCCCCAAAAGTAAACCCTAGTTTGGGGGCATGGGCATATGGAGGGTGAAGCTGCCCCAGGCGCCCCGCACCCACTTACCTTCCCAGTAAGACTGCCACAGCCAGACCTCCCATACCCCGACACTTGTCAAACTGTGTGGCTTGTCATGCCAGTGCCGCTGCTCACAGCGGGGGGTTGCACAGCACTTTGGGCCGTTGCTGTCGCTCGCAGCAGGATGCCGCATGGTGCTTCGGGCTGTTTCTGCCGGTCAGCAGAGCGTCTCTTCGGGCGATTGCTTTTGCTCGCAGCGGGACGCAGCATGGCGCGTTAGGCCATTTCCGTCACTCAGCCGAGTGGCTCTTCGGGTGATTGCCATTGCTTACAGGATGCTGCAGGGTGCTTTGGGCCATTTCCGCCACTGCGTCCTGCTGCAACAGCAATGGCCCAAAGAGCCACTCGGCTTCTTGCTGTGAGCAACAGCAACAGCCCGAAGCGCTGTGCAACATCCTGCCACGAGCGGCGGCACTGGCATGATGAGCCACACAGCTTGAGAAGTGTCAGGGCGTGGGAGGCCTGGCTGCAGCGGTCCTACCGGTAAGGTAAGCGGGTGCAGGCTGCGTGGGGCAGCTTCACCCCTCCCACTCCTTAGAGCTGCAATGGCGCAATGCGCTACATGGTGTCCAGCTGCAAGTGGCAGCAAGCAGCCGCTGAAGAAGTCAAGCAGTGGCGTGACAGGTGTCGGTGTGTGAGAGGCCTGGCTGTGGTGGTCCTAAGGTAAGACACCCCCCCCCCCAAATAAGACCCAGTGCCTCTTTTGGAGGCAAAAAAAAAAAGACCGGGTCTTATTTTCGGGGAAACACAGTAGAAAGGCATGAAAAAGACTATGGATGAGAACTAGGAGAATGACTGAAAAAAATGTGAATGAGAGAAAGATGTTGTATAATGTGTACTGAGAGAAAGACAGTAGTCAAAGAAAGTAGTCAAAGAAAGCAGTGAATAGTTAAGATTAAAGGAGGCTGAAAAAATGTTGAACAAATGTTCAACATGGATGAAGAAGTCCAAATCTACAGTTTCCTGCAAAGTGAATAGAAATAAAAATAGAACTGATGAAATGATTCTAAATGAAATTTATGTGACGGAATGCCAGAAGTATTTTAGAGTGTTATTTGGGAATCAGGGATATGTCAAAGAATGACATTGAAAAGTTTAATGTCTTCATTAAATGCATTTATTTAATGTATTTATGGATAAATGTGTAAGGAAAGCTGGTGGTGATGATGGAGTCATGAATATATGTGTGCTTTGGTATACAGATAATGCTGTGTTGTTGACTGAGAAGCTAATGGTTTACAATGAATGTTGGCTTTGCAAAGTAATATCTGAACAATGAATGTGTAATGCAATGTAATATCCGAACATTGAATGTGTATCAACACCCATGCAGTTGTGTTTGACAGAGGAAATGGAACTGTAATAACATGAGGGAAAAAACTAGAGCAAGGCAATTAATCTGTGTATCTTAATACATTTTAAGATGAGAAAATGCTTGTAGAAAATTAGTGAATATTGTCATCTAAAGAATATTTGTTGAAATAATTTTAAAAGGCTATACTGTATGTAAGATCATGCTTGTGACCACACTGTTAGGTGAAGAGCTGAATATGTCCAGAGAAATGTAAGTAAGCTGAATGTGCTTGGAATGGTACCCTCATATTTTAACTATATAGTTATTCTGATCAGATTACACTTGCTTTCCCCAAATCATGTCAGTTCAGTTAAGACACCCTTGTATTTTAGCAAGCACTCTTCTTGCATTGGACAACCATTTGTCTGAGATAATATAAGTTCTCCTGCCTTGGGCAGGGGGTTGGACTAGAAGACCTCCAAAGTCCCTTCCAACCCTATGATTCTACTTAAAAGAAATTACCTGTAAGAAGAGATAGGATCAAGAATGAATGTATACTGAATGAATGATTAAAGTGAGCTAATAGTATGAAAGAAACAAAAGTGCTTTAGTCAGAGAGAAAAAAAATGTAGACTAAATTGCACAATACAAGTATGAAGGAAGAGTGAGTGGGTTAAGAAAACAAGAAAGGCTTGAAGAAATGAATGTGTCTGCTAAAATTATATTTAACTACATTTCCTCCTCCCTCCCTCCAGTCCCTTATCTCATGCCTTTATTTTTTTTGGTTTCCTATCTTTGCATAGATTCAATCTGTAGGTTCAATCACATCTAAGGCTTTCAGACTGAATGGAGATTTGTTCTAATGCCCAAAATTATACCAGGAGGCTACAAAGCACTTCACAAATTTACAAACCACTTTTTCATATTTCAGGTTTTTCTTCTGTTTCTGATTTTTTTACAGGCTGTACCAATATTCCAAGTTCACTTCCACACATGGAAAATACTAGAGGGAGCATGAGGAGTGGTGTGAACAGCGCTTGACAGGAGTAGTAACCTAATATATTTAATTACCTAATTAAACTCTCTGCCTATCAGAACTCTTTTAGGACTGGAAGAGTGACATTACTCACGCTTCATTCATTTATTCAGCTTTCGGTTTCTTTAAGGTGGCCAACTAGACACTTGGACTTTATTTTCTCTTATGCTAATTGAATGTTACATTTCTAGGCTAGTCCAGCCAACACAATAGAAGCTCAACTCTGCTGTTGGACTACAAGTTCAAAACTAATCATTCCAATACATATTCTTGGCTCAAACCAGTAAGATCTCTTGGAACAAGTCTTACTTTTAAATTCTGCATACAGGTAGTCCTTGACTTAAAACCTTAATGGAGCTTGCCCATTACATCATAAGTCATGATGGTCATAAAGTGGATCACCCACATGACCAACTCAATTTTACAACCTTTTTTGTGGTGATTGTTAAGGGACCACTACAACCAGAAGTGCTGGGTTTTGGCAAAAACATAAAATGCAGTCACGTGATTGAAGGACGCTGCAAAGAGCCATAAATGCAGGCAGATTGTCAAATGCCCAAAATGCAGTCATGTGACTGGGGGGAGGGCAGTTATTAGAGCATCGGAACTGGGTCATGAGTATCCCTAGGAAGGCCCACCATAACTTCAAACAGTCACTAAGTGACAGGTTGTAAGTTGAGGACTACATATAGCTCTGGCAGGTTTAGGCCTCCACTAAGAGTGAACAGATGTCAAGAAAACACATACAGAGCTGGCACGAATGGAGAGTTGATAAGGCTGAAAACATTCATATTTTCCATTGCAGTATGAACCTCTGAATTTCTAAGATCCTTATTACAGTCAGGATGTTCAATCTGTCTTGATTAAGGTTTATGTGTTCATTTAATTCCTTTCCTTCAGTTTTAGTGTACAATGGACTAATGGTCCTACTTCTGTGGATATAATGATATACTGTGACAAGTAGGGGGTAAAAAACCAACTCCTTTGACAATTTTCAAACAAAGTGACTTGCTCGATTACAAAGGGAAAATGTCATATTTTCACCAACTTATTTTTGGTGGCATTAATCTTGCCTATGTCGTCACACCCTTCAATCTTAAAAAAAATGAATCCAATCAAAATAAATACTAAATATTTAGATGAATGAGAGTCATGGGTTTAAAATGATCTTTATCAAAAAATAAGCACTGGAGAAGATAAAGATTTCTAAATCTTTACTAGTGTCTCTTTAATTGCTGACTTTTTATTTGTCTCTTACTAGGAAGCTCTTACACAACCTGCATTCTGAGGAATTTCACAAGCCCACCAAGACTTTCCCTTTAAAATCAGTACCAGCCTTGCATAGCTCACTAAGACACTCTTACTGTACAGTGTAGATCTTAATTATGATGCATTAAAAACACCAATAAGTAACAACTGTAGTGCAGGATACTCACTTCGCAATGGTAGGTCCAGTGGTGATCTTGCTAGAAAAATGAACATTGAAATATACATTAGTAAAACATTTGCTTTTTATGGAATTGTATGTCATAATTCCTAACGCACCAAACTAAGATTTGAAAATTATAACTTATCATTTATATTTGATGATAATGTTATCAACTGTACAATAACATTTTGGTGCAATTGACTACAATATTATGTTGTAGCAGAGGTAATTACAGAATACATACCATGAGTTACACACATATACACTAATTAGTCATATACCATGTTTCCCCAAAAATAAGACCCTGCCTTATTTTATTTTTTATTTTGCCTCCAAAAGAGGCACTAGGTCTTATTTTTGGAGGGAGGGGTGTCTTTTCCACTCATCTCACAACGGCAGCACCGACAGCCCCACCCACCCAGCCCACTTCTTCTGGGGCTGAAGGAGCAGGTTCATTCTGCAGCTGAGAATGGAGCTTGGCCTGTAGTTTGATTGAATCCCTAGCTCGGTTCTCGGCTGCAGTGGCCTTCCGGAAAGGCAGTCTGAGCTCCATTCTCAGCTGCAGAATGAACCTGCTCCTTCTGGCGAGGCAAATGTCGGCCTAGCTGCAATGGCAACCTCCACCCACCCCACCCCTGCCCTAGCTTGCTTTTAGGGTAGGGCTTATATTAGGCCCACCCCCCAAAATCAAGCTAGGGTTTATTTTCAGGGTAGGTCTTACTTTTGGGGAAACACAGTAGTAAATAAACCTTTAGATTAAAAGATCTGAGTTTGGTGGACTTCAGATACAATGACTTTTTTGATTTGTGTTTTCCCCTAATTTAACAACCTTTTAATGGCCTTTAAATTGGAGGGTTTGATTGTTAAATCAAAGCATTATTGCAAATGATGCCATTTATGTCAATTATGTAATTACACCAATGTTATAAATTGTATTTAAGGGACATTCCCTTCTCTCAAATCAATGATTTACTGTAAATAAATTCAGAAGGGAATATAAAAAAAGCAGAGCTGACTTGTTTTACTCTGCATAATTTAAAATCACCATACTTATCCTGGCAAATCTTACGACAGAAATGGGATTCTGAACTGAAAACTTAGCTATAGTATACGAAGAGTACTTTTGCCTACAATTCTTAACTGATCTATCTGTGAGTCAGTCTCACTAATATTAATATTTAATGTTAATGTTTCAGAACAACAGTATATGAGTGCATTATGCTTAAAAAATACAGTTCCAAATGAAAATAACAAGTAGGTCACTTACCAAAAAGATTTCCTAAACTGGCGTCCATTTTTATTTCAAATACTTGAGATATGACATAAAACATCAGCAAGAACACAGCCACTGCTATTACCAACTTTGCTGCTCCTAATTTAAACAGAGCAAAAGAAAGTCGCTGAACAACTGTACAACCGTCTACTATAATAAAACATCCCCACCACTACTATAATAATATTGGGAATATAGCTATGTCCAAATTTGGAAGCAAATTATAGGAATTTATCTACATAAATATATCATTTAGAAATTATAGCAGTGAGAACAGATGTGAAATTTCTTTTTCATTTAAGAGCAACAAACTGATTACTCTTGCTCTTATTTCATGTCTATAAGCCAGTCAAAATATTTTAAAACTATCACAGGAAAACAAAAGTCCTGTTTTTTTGTTTTTTTAAAAAAGGATTATACTATAAATTATCATTCTTCATTCTATTTTTCTTGTATTCATTAAGAAGATTTTTAAAATTTTGCTAATTTTTTTAATGGTCACATTATCTAAAATGGTATAAATCTTCATAATTTCAGTAAATGTTACTTTGGTACAGAAGTAACTGTACCATTCATAACCTGGCTCACAAAACATGAACAGGCTTCAGGTTCACAATTTCCCATTTTTCGTCCATTTCATTCTGTCATTTGTGCAAAGATTGTTGTGAGCTCTAATGAAGCAAACTACAGCTACTGCAAATCCATAACTTGTTCCAAGCAAGAGCTAGAAAATCAATTCTGTTTTGCAGGCTGCATCCAATTGGCCATCAGACGTCAAATGAACAGTAACTTCAAAACAGGCATTTAAAGGTGTTATACTGCCCAAAGCCACTTTTCAATAATTCATCTGTGACAAGAGTGAGATCAAACTCCTGGCTTATCAAATATTTGCCAATATGTGTTCACACCATTCCCATAACAACAAGTACAAAAAATAGCTGTTAGCATTCGAAGTTAAATATTAGACATGCAATTATATTTTCTTGTTTTTTTTCTGAAGATGTCATTACCCTTATAATTGTGAATACAAACTGTAGTCACCAAAGAGCCTCAATAAAAGTGGGATTTTTATGATGTGATCCCAAAATCCTTGGAAAAACAATTACTGGAAACATACCTATCCACATGTCCATAATGCTGCCTTCCAATTTAACATAGGCATTTTGAGTTATTGTATTTTAGGGCAGTAT